GAAAGAATAAACTAGTTTTATTTAAGAAAGGACTTGTATCGCTGAAGTTTCTCGGAAAGAGTTTATACCTGAAATTAACAAACGACCAGATACGCAACAATATTTTGCTAAATTATCATTCTATAGATAGAATAGCCACTGAAATATTCTAACCCATTACTCGGATTTTGACTGGGTTTTCAGTTGTGTTGATATTTTCTGGAACAAAATTTAAAAGACATTTTAATTATTTTTAGAAAACATATTTTCTCCTTTACTCATTCTGAAGCAGTTCTGTCGTTACTACGCTGTAAAAATCGCTATTGGCAGTTTGAAAGTATTATTTACGGTCGATAATCATAACCCCAGGCCTAATTGTTCCGCCATCTCTCGGAAATCGTATACATAGGAATCTCTGTTTCGATACGTGAAGTACAGTGCAATAAGTTAAAACTTTAAAATTAACCCCTGTTACTAGATAATATTAAAATAAAGTTATAACTTGCTTGTCAAATGATTAATCCTTCAAATACAATGCAAACAGGATAGTAAGGGTGGCATTTGCACCATCCTTACATAATAGTACGGGCACACTGTGTACCATCCTTACATAATAGCACGGGCACACAGTGCACCATCCTTACATAATAGCACGGGCACACAGTGCACCATCCTTACATAATAGCACGGGCACACAGTGTACCATCCTTACATAATAGCACGGGCACACAGTGCACCATCCTTACATAATAGCACGGGCACACAGTGTAGTATAATGTTAACAGATAAAAATAAGATAAATCATCAAACTCAGTTGTAATAGAATAGTTATATATATGTATTGCTATATGTTAATTCGGCTATTCCATATGAAGTCATGCTTTTCAAGTCACCGAATACAACACCTATGAATTTCTGTGACACCAGACTTTTGAAACAGGCACTATTAACTCGTCTTCCTCGTACAATACATGGATTATGGAAAGCCTGCAATAAGGAGTGGTGTGTTTCTGCTATCACTGAATTACAATGAAACCCTTTTAGATAAAAGCTATTATGCAGAGCTATTGTTGTGATGCATGGTCGACAGATAGGATACGACTGTACTTGGCAACATGGACTGGAGTGACGTAATGAGACTTCAAAATAGTTTGGATATAACGTACTCGACCTCTGTATTTAGCGTCTACAGACAAGTTCTCTGACAGTTTGTTCTTCCCACTACGATCCTTGATACATCAAAATCATTTACCATTAGTTATAGTGCTTGTCAAATTTTAAAACTGTGAACATCTCCGAGATTCTGTATTTGTTTCTGTCTGACAGCTTCACTCTACCCAAACAGGTAACACTGTCTCGCGTAAATACGGAAACAACAACCAAAATTGATCCGAAGAGCAAGTCAGTAGATGGTCAAATCCGTAAACTAAAATGGGACACGTTCTTTCCACGGTAGATAGCACTTCAAAAATGATCTAGAACAGCCTTGTATGAAAGGAGGATGGTAAGTGAAACATACACAGATTTCGTAACGTATCGATTTTCGGTTTAGTATATCTTTCAGGTCATGTTTGTTTGTTTTTAATTATGCACAAAGATACACAAGGGCTATCTGTGCTCTGCCCACCACGGGTATCGAAAATCGGATTCTAGCGTTGTAAGTCCGCAGACATACTGCTGTGCCACTGGGGGGGGGGCTCAGGTCATATTGAAAGTTTGTACAATTAACCGAGTTATAATAACACCAAGACACTTTTTTTATTGTAAATCTCTGTCTAATTTTCAACATTGCTTGTTTATTTTTATGTTACAGAAAGAAATCAGTCTAATAAGAAGATGAAGTTATTTTAAGCCTGAAATAATGGCTTTCCGATTAGACGAAAATCATTCCAAACAGGTTAACCTAAAGTTCTTGGATTACCGAAATTTGCAAATTCAAAGGAAAGAAGAATTAAATTCTATTTTATGGAAAGTTCCCGAACTTCATCTGAGGAAAGAGAGAGTTTCGGAGTCAGATATTATAATTTTGAAATACGTAAAGGTTAAAGAGTCTTTCCAAGATAAAAACTGCTACAACTACCTGGAGCCCATCCCCTCTTCCATGCGCGAGGTGAATCTGCACGAGCTTAAACAAGTAGATATTGACTGGAGAATGATGACGTTGTTACGTCCAGTTAACAAATTCGAGGAGGAAATTTTCACTAGGTAGGTAAAGTTTATATGTCTTACCTTATGAAGTATAGGGGAAATGATAAGTAAAAAATAAACATAGGATTGAATACAAGAAATCATTCGTGTTATATTTTCTTTATTGTAAACCACAAATCAAAATAACCAGTAACTTCACTTCCGATATAAGGGACTTTTTTTTTCTCAAAAATGAGGTGGAAGAAAACAAATTAAATGAGACTGGAGGGGGGGGGGTGTTATTAGATTTATTATGAGTCTCGCGCAAAGCTATACGAGGGCTATCTGCGCTAGCAGTCCCTAATTTAGCAATGACAGACTAGAGGGAAGGAAGCTAGTCATTACCACCCACCGCCAACTTTTGGGCTACTCTTTTACCAACGAATAGTGTGATTGACCGTCACATTATAACGCCCCCACGGCTGAAAGGGTGAGTATGTTTGGTAGGACGGGGATTCGAACCTGCGACCTGCTGATTGCGAGTCGAGCGCCCTAACCATCTGGCCATGCCGAGCTAAGGACTGGGGACAAACAAGCTAAATGAGACGTTAAGGACTGGGGAAACTACCCAAATGTGACATCGAGGAATAAGGGTAAATAAACTAAATGTTTGTGTGTTTGTTAGTAATTAAGCACAGAGCTACACAATGGGCCACCATGGATATCGAAACCCAGTTTCTAGCGTTGTAAGTCAACAGACATGCCGCTGTTCCGCTAAGGGGCACAAGCTAATTGAGACGTAGAGAATTTGGGAAAATAAGTCAAATGTGACGTTGAAGAAAAGGAATAAACAAGCTAAATGAGACGTGGAGAATTGGGGACAAACAAGTCAGATTAAATGTTGAGAAATAGAGGCAAACAATATAAAGGAGACTTTGAAAGAATTGGACGAAACAGTGTCAACAACGACCAAATATTTTTAAATCGTAGTATTTTAAAGAATGTAAGTCAGTTAGTTGTATGACTATTTAAGTATTATCTATATTCTCCTTTTTGTACGAATGTGTAGCTTGGAAAATTTGCGACCAGTTCACTTTTTAAATGGATATGTAAAACCATCTTTGTTTATTAAAAGCTTTTCAGAACAACATAATAAAGTGTCTTTGTGTTGTAGTTTGAGAAAACAAAAACTTGCGAATATTATGCTCCTTATTTACGAAAAATACAGAGGGGGGAAAACTATTTCAGATTTTTTGCACAAAATTGTTGTCAACTTTAACAGGTATTAGCCATCGCTACATTTACTTCCTTTTTTGAAAAGTTGTTTCTTTACTTTGTAATGTCAATCAATAATGGTACAATTTACTTCTCACACATGTAGTTCCACCGCAGCTTTATATCGGCTGTGGTTTCATGTGGTAGTTACACCGCAGCTTTATATCGGCTGTGGTTTCATGTGGTAGTTACACCGCAGCTTTATATCAGCTGCGGTTTCATGTGGTAGTTACACCGCAGCTTTATATCAGCTGCGGTTTCATGTGGTGGTTACACCGCAGCTTTATATCGGCTGTGGTTTCATGTGGTAGTTACACCACAGCTTTATATCGGTTTCATGTGATTTACTGATGTGCAAATTCAAAATCGTTTCAATATAATGTATTCAACCCTCCTGGAAGAAATTGTTGAAAATCAACAGTTCCGCGTAATTACCGTTATTATTACCACATGACCATCGCCAACCCATGGATTTAGTATGGATATCGGGAGAGTGACTGGGGTAACTATTAGAGACCAATCGACAAGGAACATATTTCACTAGCCAGGCTTAAGATAGAGAATAAGTTCCATAATGGACTGTTTGGACCGTTGTCCAGAAAACCAGGTGAAATAAGTTGATTGCTATCATATCTGGTAATCTCGATTCCAGTGAGCTACTATAATATTTGGGAACTTTAGCCCACTGGGTAGGCAGCTATACTCTTTCCAGGCGAATTAAGGTTTCATGTTTCTACTAGTGATTGATGGGTCAGAGGTGAACGGTCACTCCAACAACGTGGTCATCGGCGGCTCAGTTACGAAAAGACATCAATATGAATGCTCATACAGATGTGATTGTGGTTTCTAGGGCAGGTGTATTATCACGGTATTAGATTCAGTTGCAAGACCTTTTACAGTAACAAACATTGTATTGATGCCCAGTGATTTACTGTAAAAACTGTGATCGAGAACTTTAAACAAGAAACCATAAAGGACGTGGATCAACCAGTAAGAAGTCTCGATATGACTTCCAGGGAACAGTTATGGGGCTACTTTGGGCATGGTTCACATTAATGCTTTGATCAGAAACTTTGGGGCATCACTAAAAAACGAGACAGATTTACCCATAAGACTGTCTGTCAACTGACCAAAAATACGCCTCGCAGGTGCAGAGACTGTGTTAATGCAAGGAGGAGACCATCTTCGCCATAATAATAGCCTTTTTTTTGGTCAAATGTGACATTTTTTGAACAAACTGATTTACTTTCAAATTAAGGGTAGTCCGAGGGTTGCAACTAGTAAAACATTGTGAAAGAAACTGATTCACTTTGAATTTGAGGGTAGTCCGCGGGTTGCAACTA